GGCGCCCAGGCCGCTTCGCGCTGCCTGCGCCTCGCTCGGGCTCCGCGGCTCTGCTGGGCTGGTTGTTACAGGGGAAATAAAGCGTTTCTTCCGCTCGTGAAGAGAGATACGAATTGGTGTGACGCGAGCGGTGCCGCGCGCGACGACCGGGGCTCGCAGCTCCCCTCGCAACACGTCCTGCGGCCGCCGTCAGCTGGGCCCTGGCTGCCAGCCCTGCAGGCTGCACAGCCCCAGGGCAGGATCCTGTCCTCAGCCCTGGCCCTGCATCTCCCTGGCACCTTCCCGGGCGCTGGGAGGGCCCTTCTCGGCGCAACACCTCCATGTTCGGAGTGTGCGGCACTGCGGAGCTGTCGCTGTCAGAAGAGACATTCTCCGCCAGGAGGAAGGGATAAGCCTTCGTGTATGGAAGGTGACGCTGTCCAGAGGCACCCGTGGGTGACGTTATGGGAAGCAGTTCCCTCTCTTCCCAGCTCGTACTGCAGCATGAACTCCAGCCTTCACACCTCAAGGCATCTCCTTTGGAATCAGAGCTGTCCTTGTCTTGTAGCAAAGGAGTCTCCCTCCTTGCACGACAGCTCTTTGCTTCCAAAGCAGCCCTGGTCGCCGGCTCGAGAGGCGTAAAACCTGACACCCCGCTATGCTTTGTGCCCCGCAGTGTGCAAGTTCGTGGCGCTGGAGCTGAAATCCGCTTTCGAGGAGACCGGCAAGACGAAGGAAGTGATCGACACGAAGTACGGCTTCCTGGATGGGAAGGGCTCGCCCGTCAAGTACACACAGTCGTAAGTGACTCGGATGGGGCAAGAGGCAATGGGGATCTCTGTTGTCACCCCCCATGCACGGGGACATCCCGCATGGCTGCATGTGGCTTCCCAGGGTGTCTGGGCAGCACAAGGCACCGTTCCAGTCTCCTGTGTCTGTGGCTCCGGCCATGGCGCTGGGCTCATCCCCTCCTGTTGTCTCTGTGCAGGGACGTGCGGTTAATTGAGGTAACGGAGAACATCTGCAAGAGGCTTCTGGACTACAACCTGCACAAGGAACGGAGTGGCAGCAACAGGTTTGCGAAGGTGAGGGTTGTCCTCCCAGGACACGCTCCCGAGAGCGCCCCTGCTCCATGCCCACATCCGTGTGTGTCAGGAGCTGACACCGGCTCCAAGGTCAGTGCGGGGGAAGCCCTGACTTCACGGAGGCTGCCCCGCTCTCGCAGGGCATGTCGGAGACGTTCGAGACGCTGCACAACCTGGTGCACAAGGGCGTCAAGGTGGTGATGGACATCCCCTATGAGCTGTGGAACGAGACCTCCGCGGAGGTGGCCGACCTCAAGAAGCAGGTACTGTCCCCAGGGCAGGGGCACTCGGCCTGGGCGGACGGGCTGCGCTGGCCCCGCTGTGCTGGAGCTGGGCGCCCCTCTCTCCCTCCGCTAGTGCGACGTGCTGGTGGAGGAGTACGAGGACGTCATCGAGGACTGGTACCGGCACCACCAGCAGGAAGACCTCTCGCAGTTCCTCTGCGCTGATCGTGTACTCAAAGGGAAGGATGCAAGTAAGTGGGACCTTCCCCCTGCCAGCGGCTGCCTGGGCTCCAGGGGAGCCTGGCACCTCCTTCCACCCCTGTCTCCTCCAGGTTGCCTGGCAGAGACGTGGACGGGCAAGAAGGGCGACCTGGCCAGCGTAGGGGAGAAGCAGAGCAAGAAAAAGAGTGGCAAGAAGAAGAAGAAAGGCAGCAAGGAGCAGAGCGCAGGAGCCAGCAGCCTCCCAGGCAGGAAAGAGAGCGCCGAGGAGAGCGGGATTCAGGAGGAGGCTCCGCTCGCGCACAGCCCCGCCGACGAGCTGTAGGCAGAGGGGCCGCGCGCTCCGTGCTGCTGGGCCACGGCGAGGCCCGCGAGTGCTGAAGGAAAGGGGATCTGCTGAGCCATGTACCTGACTGCTCCAAGGGCCAGCGTGGCCGCGCTGTGTCCGTGCAGGCCTTACCCGGCTCCGCAGGGGAGCGGGCCGGG